TATATATTCCATTTATTGTACGGTACATATATTTTCTAAATTAACAGTTTAGTTGTTAATATTTTGGAGACGGTTCTTTTTCAACTGCTTAGTGAACCCACAGAACCAGTCCAAACTGTGAATCGATTCTCAACTGCCAGCACCGCCAAAGGAGAAAACTCCACCTCCGTTAATTGTTGCGGTTTTTACATTATGCTGCGATGGGTCCAGGGGACATTAGTTGTTCCTTTTGTCAAATGGGAATTTGCATTTACCGGATTGTTAATGCAAAGTGGCTGCATTAATCAAGAGTGCCCGCCGCAGTGACAGGGTAGTTGGCCGATGTTATTAAAACGCTAGTACACGGCAGCTAATTAATTTTATGCAACGCCACACTTGAATAGCTTTCATAATGAATACGCTTCTGATCGTTTTATTTTTACGTGAAACTTATACATGATCGATTTGATTGACGGCTCATGCTACGGTCACGCGGGCTAATTATTCGGAGGGGAAAAGCTTTATTAATTAAGGCGGTTTCGTTAAAAAGACGGAAAAGAAACACTCAGAGGATCTTAAAGTTGATCTCTACTGAAATTAACTCCAGACACTTGCATCCGGAAATCACTCTCTTTCGCGTTGGGCGACGAGTGCTCTAACGAAGATTGTCTACTTTGCAGAGGTTATTACGGACGGTAGCTTTTCCTTTGAATGTCTGGTGTTTTTAATTGTGTATACGACTATTTGGTATTCTATTTCTTTCTAAACTGAATGAAACGAGCTTAACCGGTCTAACGCTGATAAGAATTTATTTTCATCAAAAACGTCGGCCATACGTCTACTATAGTCATTTTTCCGTTTGTTTAGAGCATTGTTAAAATAAAACTCTTTGATTTGATACTGCAGTCATGATATTAATTTCAAATAATTATTTATGTAGTCTGTCGGAAGATCATTTCTTAAGTTTCCTTGAAGACGCGTTGTACAACATTCTAGACGACAGCATAGTCTGTCCTAAGTTGTTCACCTTCTAGTTGTGTTTCTAGTAGTCAAGAAAGAATTTCAGAAAAGTTTTGGTGCTAGGAACACACCAAGCTGTGTAGAAGCTATTAGAATATATACAAACTGGCGCCTTGGTATAGCAACACTGTTCTGAATATGTTTGTTTTTATTGGCAAGTGAAGGCACTTTGCACTACAATGAACACATACTATTTTAATCTGCTATGCATTGTTTTATTGTAACAGTATTCGGGTGAGTGGTATAATTAAATTCCATTATTTTTAAAGGTCAAATTCCACGCCACGCTGTATGGCACACCAACCAAGTGAAGGTCGTTTAGGTCAAAGTACGCAGAGCAGTGTTACACTAGAATCCTGATACATTCTTCTAAGGACCTGCCACGTGGTATACCATGGAATTTACAATTTTGGTTCATTGTCTACAATATTTCTAAAATATGTAATAGAATGTATTAAAAAATTCTTCTTTTCAAATATTCAGTTTTCTGTACTCATGTATGAGACACTCTCATCTTGAAACTAAACGGCTGAATGGTTATGTGGAAGTTACTTGTTAAAAACGAAAGACTGAATCTTTTGTCTTTTGCTTTCAAAAATCATTGTGGAGGATTTAATTCTAATTGAGGTTATTCGGTATTTTAATTCAGAGATATTTCCTTATAAAAGTGTTAACAAAAAAATTATAGTCGTTTTAATCAATTTTATTTTCAAAATTTGAGTTAACAACCGTAGAATTATATTTTCTCTACATTTACATGTAAACATTCGTTATTATGACAAACTATTAAAATAGAGTGAAATACAATAATAATTGGGAATGACTATTTTCACAGCTACCGCATTCTCAACTGTTCATAACCTCCAACGTTTCTTCACCAATTGTCAAATTTTATATGTATTTTAGGAATGTTCTGCAGATGGTAAAATGCTAATCAAAATTTGTCTGATTATCTCCACCAGTAATGTAATGACATCATCTCAAAATTTTGTCCTTAAACCTTATCCATTAGCGTACTCCTGTGTTTGTAGTTTATGAATTCGCATTAATTTTAGAGTTGTTCGATCTCGATCCGGCATTTTCATTTTATTTTGGTTGTTTTGTTCTTTGGTTTTACATATTATCTTCATTTTTGTTTTCGTGTCACAATCTTGAATCCTTTTGTCGACTTATCATTATAAATTCTATAAATACATTTACATTCCAGCATTTCTTTTTTGTAATTTGACGTCGCCTCGCTCTTAAACTAGTAACGTTTTTAACAAAATCTGGCTTTTTCTTCTGGTAGTTGTTAGCAAAACATTTTCAACCTTCCCTTTAATGCATCAGATGAGGTCACCCGAAATTCAATTAAATAGTGGGCACACAAAAGGAATTGGTTGTTGGTAGCGTCAGGTAATTTTCTTTTCCTCGTCGTAGAATTTGTCAGAATGTCAACATTTTCCTCCGTACGACCAATTTTTCTGATATTATTTTTCCACTAGTAAGATTGGATAAAACTACATTATTTTTCTTGTATCGTTTCTTCAAGATGCTCCTTATACCAAAACTGACTATGTTAATGTTAACTCATACTACACCGGGTATGTAGGTGCCCAGTTCATTTAGAAACGCTTTACTGAACCTTGAACATATTCATCTGCCACACTTGAACTTTTATTTAAAATCTTTCAAGGGAAAAATGGTTCTAAGTTACTTATTTATGTTTTCAACGTAGATAAATGCCATAAATTTACTGCATACACCAACCATACCCTTGCGACAACAAATCAAAAACTGTAAACAGACATGATGTAGCCATACCGCGATAGGAATTTTCTTAATGCTTGTCGTTTATGTTTTAATCAAGTGTTCTGTAAAGTAGCTGGATTTGCTCGGATTAATCTAATTACCAAATCTGATGCGTGTCTGACGCTTATTCGTCAAACAGGAAACAAACGAAACGCTGTAATGAAACAAATTTTCTTATTACTAGTAGTACTTCATTCAGTAGGTATATACGGAGATTTTGTTTATGCGATTTTGGTAACTTTGGTAAGATTGGCACTGATGCCATTTCGTCAAAAAACAGCAAGTATTTACGCTCGAAAATAAATATTGTGTGATTTACCGTTTTCCGCACGACCCACTTCGTTTCGTGGAACGCTACCTGTGCGCCATCTAGTCTGCAAAGTTAGAAGTACCGTACACAAGTTGAAAGTTCAGAGGTTATCTGAGGCATCGATGTAAAATTTCTTATGCCTTTTTACTCAAATAAGTAAAAATGACGCAAGTCACCTTTAAGGTGTCCAAATTTACACAGCCACCCGATTAGTTGTAAAGAACATCATCGTTTCCGTTTAAAAAAAAGATGAACTGTGCCATCGAACAGCGTGAGATTCTTGGATCATCCCTTGCAATCAATCCACCTTTCCGTTCGCGGTATAATCTAATTAACGGCGCAACTAATAATTTTCTCAGTACAACGTGACTATAATTGGATTCGTTAATCAGAAAGTGCCCGCGGATAATCGCGGTATTTTCCACAATATAAGATACTCCTAATTAAAGCGAGTCTGATCGAGCAAAGGGCGAAAGCAGCGTAGACGAAAAGGACGGAAGACTACTATTACGTTGATATTAGACTTACTTTACAATTACTATTATCTTAATTAAGATCAAGTAGAAAAAGTTGGTAATGTAAAAAACGGTTTACTGCGGCTTTAATTTAATATAGTATTTAATGGGCACAGCAGATTTTTTATTATTACATAAAATAAATCTCTGTTGAGGCTTAGCAGTTCTCTGAAATCGCGTGATCTCGAAGCTGCTTCCAGTTTTTTAGTAATTGGTTAAACTTTTATCATTACGGGTAAATGTGATTTCTGTATCAATTAGGCTCGAGCAAGTCGCAAAAACGTTACACGACCGTTTTAACCGTCATTATCGGATTTCTTAGAGAATGTCTAACCGCTGCCTGCGAGGAATTTATAAACAAATTAAAAAGAATTAAAAGCGGTCCACACTTGTTTGCTTAATTCTAAAATTGTGGAAGCGTTTATCGAGTAATAAACTAATAAATTTTACTTTTACAAGTAAACTATCTGTTTAAAGAAATACCCAAACCATTATTATCACTCAAATGGGGTAGTTTTTTGTTGGTGCCGCATTTTTTGCTTGTATCTGTACCTATTGTAGTGCAGGTCATCATTGGTATTGAATAATTTTAACAAATCTGTAATACTGTTTTCCCGGCGCCTCCACCAATTGTTGGTATTCGTTTTCATTAGTACCGACTAAATATTCCTTCAGTTCCCTGAGGTTCTTTTTTACTTTTGGATAGCTTAATGGTTTATTCTTTTTAAATCTTAAAAAATAGCTTATAACATTACTCGTGACAGTACTCCTAGTTGTATTTAGAGACACTTATTAGTTCACTTTTATACAATTTTTTTAATAAGCAAGAGATGATAGACTCTCTTAACTTTATTAAGAAATATGTTACAGAACTATTGTTGACTATAAGATCGTTTTTGTTATCGCATGTTAGCAAGAACTTGAAAAATGATGTCACATTATATTTTTGTAATTTAACTTGAATCAATAGTTGTAGTTTTTTTTTTGTTTTGTTTTCAAAATCTTCCACAAAATTGTTGCGCTCTCGTTTGCGTACTAGACGGTCTTTCTGTGTATTGAACAAAGACAAACAGCAATTCGTATCCATAAACAAATCATCATACATTATCATTAACTGCAAAGTCATCCACCGTAATGATTTGTTAACAAATTATAACAAGTTGACAAACGTCTGTAAATGACCTGATTCCGAGTAACTCCACCCTTTTAACGTAATTAGTTTTTCGGTGATCTATTTCCCCGATTGGAAAATATTTTCAAGTTCCCGTATACTGATTTTAGTTTCGTTACGCGATTAACTGGTCAGTAACCTATGTTAGAGTAATTTCCTCCTTCACTGTCGACTATAGAAATTTAATGTTACCGTATTCTTAATGGTCCCGCAGGTTATTTGGAAACTCAGGAGCGTGTTCAGCGTGCGGCCAAATGATTCCAGCTAGTGAATTTGTCATGAGATCAGGAGGACCATCGCCTCAACAACCTGGAGCGCCCCCTCACGTTTTCCACCTCAAATGTTTTGTGTGTAGCAAGTGTGGCGCCCCCCTAGTACAAGGTGATCGCTACTACATGCTATCAGGAAGTCTCGTTTGTGAACAAGACTGGCACAAGTTACTTAAAAGTTCGGCCGCCACACCTACGGTTCGCAAAGGGAAAGTGGGAAGGCCTCGTCGGAGCCGCGACTGAATAGAGCCGTACATTCACGCTGTCCCAGGTAAATACTGGATTTACAATTGTAGTTAGCTGCGAACAGGGTGATCATTTGGATCAGACGTGCTGCTTCCATTGGCGAAATATTTTGCAGTGCGCTTCACAATGGTTTGAACTGGGACGACAGAGCAGTGGCGTCCGTTGTACAAGTTATTTGAAATCAAACACGGACAACTTCTTGAATGTTCAAGAATGATTATTGTCGTCTAGAAAACCGACTTACGTTTTGTAGTGATATTGTGAATTGTCTTTCAGCACTTGATGATTGATGACTGTCATTTCACATGAGACGCCAATGGTCATAGTTCCCAGTTAACAGAAAATGACCCGTGGTGAGTTAATTGATGTAAAATATTTAGTATAGTGATTCTATTTCCGAAAATGCTCTGCAATGAGTGACACGCCCAGATTTAAATGATCACACTGCAGTAGACAGTAGATGTATGAGGCATTGGGTAAATTAAAGTATAGTTCGCGTATTGTTGATAAATGCGCACCCAATACGTAGAAATACGTTTTTTTTTAATAATTATCGTGTTTAAAGTATGAGTCTGTGATGGAAAATAATATACTCCGAATAAATATAAAAATACATATAATTATTTTTTTTTATTTTGTATTTAATTCAAATGCGATTCAAATTTTCAATCAAAAGTTTTTCCTTTTTAAAAAAATAAAATGTTATTATTGAGAAGTTGGTTATTTTCATAAATTAGTAAGTATTGGCAGAGATTTATTTGTAAAATAAATTTCAACCATTTTTATGAAATATTGTCAGGTTTAACTTTCCAAAAAAAAAAGAAGAAAATAATTATTATTTATATGCTTTGCACAACAGTATGACAGCCAAAAAAGAATTGGTCCAAGGTTATTTCGAGAGAACTTCCCTCGTCCCTGAAGTACAATAGCCGTCTTGAACACATACTTCAAATCAAGTTGTTTTTGGAACTAAATAAGCTTTCAGTTGACTTCTTTCACTTTTTTTTTGCAAAAGTTGGCATAAAGTATGAGTCTGATACTTTTCTAATACACACGGAAGCCCTTTCTGTGATATGAGTACGTAGTACAAAGAAAAAACTGCAAAATAAAAGCATTAATTGATGTTATCTTTTAACAGTAATATTTTCTGGGCAGGTTTTTGAGTAAGTCCATTTAAAAATCTTAAAAATGAAATATCTTGGCCGACACGCAGGTATATGATGAATTTCTGTCGATTACATTATAAATTCAGTGTGTGGTGGTGATGGGGTGGGCCGTTTTTATTTTACTTAATTTTCGCTTGAGCAAATTTTAAATTAATTCTGTATAAACGTAAATAGCCCCATTTCCGTCGATTAACAATGTTCTGCTTCGGGCGGGCAATTCTGCAAGTTTTCCCGAGTAGAAATGAGTCTGAAAGCTCTTTAAAGCGCTTGCTTCCATTTGATATTTAAATGCGTTTAAAGTATTGTTTTATGTTATAAATTTAATGCTGCGGAGTAATTATCGATGGTTTCAGGAAGATTACGTTTTAAAACATCCATTAATGGGCTTTATGAAATGTTCTAATTAAAGCAATATCTTGTCTGAGTGCTGGTCCAACCGCCGCGAGGGTTATAATCCCTCGAAATTTGCGTTTTGTTTTCTGTCACGACTGGAAATAATCTGTCATTCGTAGTCGATTGCGTAAATTAACCGAATATTGAATTAATTGGACGCCTTGGGGGTGAAGGAGATAGAGAGGGGAATGTTTTCAATTACAGGTGTTCCAAAAATTTTATGGTTGAAGTTGGTTGTGCATCTTCGAACGTATGTCGCTCTAGTATCCAAGCGTAATTTTAATTTAATGTTGTAATAAGGCATTAAGCTTGGACACGCATGTTTTAAGACGAAGGCTACTCTAAATGGATTTATTACTGACAGTTTAACTCGTGTAAAAATCTCATAAGCAGCGACTCGTTTTATTACTTGACAGCGAATAAACTTGCTCAGAGTTTGTATCTGCCTCGTTAAAAGTGCAATTTGGTCCGGATAAAAATGCATCTCATAAATTAGCTGTAGAGTATACCCATTACAATTATGAAGAGTGCCAACTGTTCCGGAAAGCGCATTTTTTCCCAGTATTATTATTTTAGAAGTTGTAAAGACGCAAGTTGTTCAGTTTACAAAAAAAGTGTGTTTGTTCATCATAAAAATTTGACCAGAAAGTGGAATTACTTTAGACACTTCGAAACCCCTACAACACAGTTGTCAACTATACAAATTCAACAGATGCGGTGAAGTTTTACCAAATATGTTTACAGGATACGAAGATTTTAAAGACTCTAACTACCTACGTTTTTTTTTTATATACATAGATCATACTTTTGGTTTTTGGTTTGTTTAACGTATGTGTGCTGGGCACCACTGTTGGAAGTGTCACGAAAATTTTGATGTGTGCATTATTTGAGGTTATATCAGAATGTGGTGTTCACAGATTGAAATAGCATTAATGTGATGTTGAAAGTTTGTTGACAGTATGCAGGATCGCCATAACTACAACAAAGGAAGGAAGGACACAGATATAATTCTGTTCCATTTGTGACATATATTATAAGATTCAGTCACATTATAACCAATAACATTGACATGCTGTCAGAACCGTCCACATATACAAATGCGGGAAATGTGAAGAAAAAACAAAACGGATGACTAAAAATAGCATAAGACGAAAGCAAATCAAGTTTATTATCGGTAACACTACACAGGAATGAAAACTGTGTAATAATAGACACGACAGTCGATAAACAGTAAACACTTTTAATTAAAACGAACATGACACACGAAAACGTATCTAAGATATGCAGAAAAAGTTGATTACTTCAGAAATATCATAAATCCAACGTAATTAAAGGACACGCCAGTTGGCAGTTCCAAATGATTTTATAATTAAAGGCGTAAGAATAACTTTGGCCCAAATAGTTATGACAGAGGTAATAATGACGTAGGGACGAACTAGTTTTTTTTCTGTTCGATTTAATTAAGGTTTGTTACAGTTAAGCTTAATATATATACTTTGATTTTTTGTGTTGAGGGTGTATATATCACTAATATTGAAAATATTCTAATATTAAAAATATTCTAATATTTAAAAAAAGAACATTATCCAAGTTTAGATCTTCTAAAAGAACAGTATAAAGATTTTAGTGCTATAATGTCAGTAAAAGGTTTAGGGTTCCTCATTACAAATCCTAAGACCTTAAGAGATGTTTCGATTACAGTAAATTGATGTTCCTTAAAGCTAAGTTTATTATCAAAAATTATGCCGAAGTCTTTAAGAGACTCACAAGACATAACAAGATTGTTTATGGTGTAGTTGTGAAGAAGTGTAGTAACTGATTTCTAGTGAATGGAATAATACTACATCATGCTATATTTAACCGCAGTCCATATATCATTTTACAATATTATTCATATTTTTGTAATAGTTCAGTCATGGTGTCATTGAGTAGGTCTGTATAATTGCATATAGTTCAAATCTAGAGTTGGTAATGACACAGGTTGTAAATCGAACAAGAGTGGTCCTAAATTAGATTCCTGGGGTACACCTGACAGTTGAATATAATTTTGAGATCTATAACCATTACATACTGTTAGTTTTTTGTCTACTAGATAAGATTGGAATAGAGCAATAAGAGAGATTTAGAAAAACAAAAATGGTGAAGTTTTGAAAGAAGGTGATGAATAATCCGAACGAAAACTTTATAAGTTTTTAAATTTTTTAACTTTTGGAGTGCACAAATCATTAGATTGAGTAGTATTCGAGGTATTAAAAGTTATTGCAGTATTTCCATAAGAAGTTTGCCAGGTATAGCTGTTTGATATTTTTTGTCCCTAATGAGTTTCCAAAAGTTTTTATGATCAGAAGAAAAACTAGACTGGATTTCGGAAAGCTATTCTTTATAGTCTCTCTTAATTAACTCTTGAAGCTGAATGAATTTTTGATGATGGAAAGCACTTCTTGTTTTTTTAAACTTGCGGAAAGAGTGGTTTTTCTGTTTAATTTTCTGCTTTAATTCAGGAATTAAGTAGTTTCGTTTGATTTACATTATTTAAAGTATAAATGGATGATCAATCAGGAGATCACAATTCCGAATATAATTGAGTAAAATTCGCTGTTCGAAAGTTGTAATTTTACTGTCAGGTGAGAACACTTTGTATTATACGTATTTATATGTTACACTTGATATATGTTTCTTTTAGAGGTTAAGCGTGTGTGCTACGAGCACTCAAGAATGATAGTATACCCAAACATAATTTTTGTTCTAAAAGGTGAAATTGTCAAAAGCATCATCAAAAGTTGGCATGGAATATAAAATCCATAAAGAACTGTGGTATGTAAATAAATAAATAAATAAAAATAGACGTTAATGGTACTATATGAACAAAGCCCTAAAAATCGAAAAAATTGGCATTTCTCTCTTTTGTAAAATTAGGAATGTAATCATTAAATATTAATATTATCACTTCCCGACCATAAGCTAAGGCAGTATTGTAGTGGAGTCCATCTAATTTTTATTAGACAGTCTCCGATGCTATCTGACCGATGGTTGCCAAATTTTATATGTATGTTAGGAATATCGTATAGATGGGTGTCGAAGTTTGTATAAATGAATAAAGACCAGCGAACAGTAAGATAAATGTATATTGATAGTGACAAGTGTTAGGATAAATAAGAATGATAAGAATAGAATATTATGTGACCGTGCGGTCGAGATAGTTGAATGTTAGTTACGAATTGAGAATTGTGAATTGAATGTGTATGAATGAGTTAAGAATTAAGAATGAATGCTACCCTGTGTTCCAAGGTGGGGGTGGCTCTGGCTCCCACCCTTACGGGTGGGGATGGGTGAAACAGGTCCCCGCCAGAGGCTCTAACATACCCCCCGCCTTGAAACAATTACATTGTTTTAAGACCAAAAATAAACTATATGGAATATTAGAATGATAAATACAAATGAAATTACATGAATGGGATGGATATTGTTACAGAAAGCAATGAACATGAAGAAACGCATTAAACTTAAAAAAAAAAGATATTTAAGACAAATTACATTGGTACAATATCAGCGAATACACAATATTTACAATAAACCTAAAAGTAAATTTACAACAATTATAATGTACCAAATCAATGAATAATACGACGAGTGAACAATATGGGGAATGAATATAACAATGGTACAAATATGAATACATAGAACATAGCAAAATAAATCAATAATGAGATGTATATAACAAATTGACAAGATGTATGCAATATGGTTAAATATAATGATAATGCATGCGATTGCGAAATTATCTTTTGCACTTC